CTGGGACCCTCCCACCTCACAGGGTCCTAGAATCTGAGCTCCAGCCCGAGCCTGGACATCTACACTGAAATTAAGCAGCGCCACAGCCCCAACCCAAGTCAGCTGGCATGATCCAGCCAGAAGTTTTTAATTGCCATGTAGACATACTCACAGAGCGTCCCTGGACAGTTAGTCCCATTCAAACTATAATCAAGGTTTCTTGGCCGCTGCTAATTCCAGCTGTGATACTGACAGGCCAGCTCAGGTTACGGCAATAGGCAAATTCGCTTGTGTGTGAATAGCAAAGAAATGTTAAGCATAGTAATTCACTCGAGTGTTAATTTAGTTCAAAGAAAATGTGACTCATATTGTCTTCACTTATCTATAACCTGTTGAATGCTATCACATTACCTTATGTATATCCATGTACTGAATTAACCGTAGATCAAACGTTTATGTTAGTATTAAGATGAGAATTTACTTGACATGTAAACTTCATGAAAACTAGTGGAATGTTAGTTGTATTGTTCTCACTTATCTGTTCCTCTTAATGGCAGGCATTTGCATGATGTATATCCTTGTAACTAAATAACCCTTAAATGCAGATGAAGCCTTGGGGGATGCAAATAAAGAAGAGGCTAACTTCAAAGCAAGTGGCCATTGGTGTAATAACTGGAGGTCAAAGATTCAAGATACATTCCTCGCTCACCGTCAACAAGGAAACCCACATGTTGGTAAAAGCACTGACAGCTTGCTTTCTGTGTGGAAACACTACAAATATGGAGTCAGGGAACGATCCTGCATCCTGTTGTTTGGACACTCACAGGGAAGCGTTCCAGATGCAAGACAGAGATTCCCAAAGTTATTTTGCATAATTCTGAAAGACTTATGGAAAACCAGCAGATTACCACAGCTCTGCTATTATTTTGGACGTACAATACCTGTTAATGTATTTTACTTGCTTTAACCTCTCCATAATTCATTTTCTTAGCTACTAAACCGTTAGTTAGTTAATTAGAGAAATTGGCTGCCTGCGCTGTCTTTGGTGTGAGATCGAGAGTGTCCATTGAGCTGGAGTAAGTGACTAACCCTTTGGGGCTGTGAGTAACCTAATGCAACGTGATATTTGGTATAGCAACCAGTATCACAAAGTCCAGTTTGTCAGGGTGGCAAGGTAGGCTAGAAACCTGAGGGGACTGTTTGTGACTCCATGGTAAGACTAATACAGTGATCCAAGAGGGCACACTTGTTACTGGCTTGGTGAAATCTAATCATTGAATATACCACCAGTTTGGATGTCTGTCCTATTTTCTGACAGTTTAACGTGAGATTGGCATTCACAGTTGTGAGCCACTCCAGACACCATGACACCAGCACCTTCCTTAAGGGGGGTTCCCCACTACAAAAAAAAAGACCACATAAAAGCAAATATAGTGGCAGGCTGTATTCCTTTCCCAGATATCTTCTGTGGAAGAAGATCACACTCTGCATGGACACAAGGTTCTGTACTATTAGATCCCAATGTAGATTCCTGGCTAAGATCACATTTAAAAGTCAGATGTATCTATTATTACAGAACACCGAATGTTTCCTTTTCTGATGTTACATTCCCCATATCATGGTAATTTTCTTCCACTAAGCTAGAATTTGACTAATCTACAGCTACCATATAATATGTGTGGTGTAATGTCCTGCCTAAATTATCAGCTGTTATGAGAATAAAAAGCGATTCAAATTAGAAATTAGAATGATTAAAGGCTCTTAAATTAATGGCTCTATTGTCCTTCCATAACACAATGAGCCAGGTCATCAACTGGTCTATATTGGCACAGCTATCACTGATGTCAATGGAGCTGCCACCAATTTACACCACCTAAGGATCTGGCTCCAAACAAATACAGCCATAAAATCCTACCACTAAGGCTACCATAACACACTGCCAAATTTGCAATGGCTTTCATTTCAGTTTGTCTGCACTGCTTGGCAGTATACCTATAAACATGTTTATTCTCTGTGGCTTGTATTATGTTACGGCTACAGTGGAAACCTTGGTAGCTCAAACATGGTGCTGCAGCTTGCTATCTTTGTGCCTCTAAAAAGACTTACTAGTCACAACAGTAACTTTCACACACTGAGAATTTGGGGGTGTAGTTTACAACGGGTGGCTGGTAAATGTGCCCTTCAGCTCAGGAGGTCTGTGCTTAGCTCATGAGTAAAAAGATGTCTGTCATCTCAGCATCATCAGTGGGGCATACTGGTTCACGTCACAAAACCACCACACAATTCTTCACACTTCAGGATGGCTGGCAGCCTCTGCTTAGGCAAATTAAGTTTGATAGGTAATTGTAAACCTTCCTGGGAAGCAACGTACACCTTCATTATGTTTGCCTCCTGCCTGTCTCATTCCTAAAAATTAAATCCAGAATGCGTCCCAAAATGAACAAAGTATATTTCAAATTCCTATAGGTAACCATCAGTCACAGCATAGAGGTACAACACAAGGATCTCTACACCTATTATGGCCTACCTTGTGGCTACATAGGGTATGTATGTTAAGACAGGGCAGCCTCTCAGGCCTGACTCCACATCTACATGCCCCAGGAAACTTTGTGATAGTCACAGATAGGTCAGCATGGAGAGTATTGAAGAGGGAGCGGCCAAATATGCAGTAGCCCCAGCAAATGGTACAAGTAGCACGGAGAAGCTGTGGTCCCTATTATACTATGTAGCCTGATACAGTGGCTAGGAGGCAGGATGCAATCTTGCACCCTTGACCCTAAATTGGGGAAGGTGGATTTCAACTGCTCATTCTACTTCAGTTCACATACGCTAAAGCTCATTTACTCTGACTCTGTGTGGGTGAAGTGAATTTCACCTTTAACACATATGATATTGTAGGTTGGGAGCTAAATAACATTCACTTAATAACCTTTCATCAAATATTGATTTTCACTGACTATTTTCACTGGAATTCTGAAATTAAAAATTAATCTTAAGGAGTAAGGGCCTCAGTCTACTCTACTAACACATGAAACCAAACACTCACTGAGCCAAATTCATTGCTCACATAATTCCACTGAATTCAGTGTGAATATACACATGAATAAGAGTAGCATTCAGTCACAAGAATATGGACCAAATTCTTCCATTGTTAATCAAGCAGAACTCTTATTGCTTCCAACGAGCGTTTAACTAGATCACATTGAAGACGCAAGAATTTGGCCATATATTATTAAACTATCAAAAACTAGAATCACAACACTGTATATTTTTGTAAGCCTGCCACTCATTTGCTTGGAGCCCAATAGAATTTCAACTGCCCCATTACGATTTAGTTAAGGATTTTTTTAATTAAGCAAAGCACGCTTTTATAATATGCACACCGACACTTTGCATCCTGTATTAAAGCAATTTTGAGCATTCATTTAATCAATGCTGCGGGAAGGGCAGCCAGCACATCCCTCGGCCTGCGCCACTTACCCCAGCCCCCATTGGCCTGGGACGGCGAACCACGGCCAGTAGGAGCTGCGATCGGCCGAACCTGCAGACGCTGCAGGTAAACAAACCGGCCCAGCCCGCCAGCAGCTTTCCCTGGAGGGCCGCGTGCCAAAGGTTGCCGATCCCTGATCTACAGTAATGCTCCTAAGAATGAGCCCCACAAAAATCCAACACAGGAGATGTTTCTGAGTTCCTTCTATTGATAAAAACGGTTAAGAAATGTATGGCTACACTTGCACAGGAAAAAACAAACATACAAAAAAACCCACCCTCACACAAAAACCATCCACCACACACATTGGCCAAAATGTATGTCTTCAATATTTTGACTCCAAGCAAAAGTTTTACAGCTCAGTTATACATTCACCCTCCCAACTTGCCCCCCCCCATATATATATATAAAAACAGTAGAAATTCTGATATCCTTATCTATAGTATGGCTAAGGAAGGGCTGTTCAACAACACACAGTATTGCTCTTACATTGCATCTCATGTGAAATTCACTCATTTTGTATTACTCAAACCTATTTTCTCCTTATAACCCCATATTCTCTCTTTCCCCCCCCCCAATTTGATTGTTTATGTTTATGTAGAATTTTGTCACCATTTACCCAAGAAAGTCAATGTAAGCATTCTGAGTTAGCTCTAGGTAGATGGGTTACTGGAAACTAACAAGATTCTCTTTAGAGGTACACAGTGCTGTATAGGAACCTCTATTTGTGAACCCCAAAACATTTTGAATGCAGGCAAGAACCCCTTTGAAAATCTTAAGACATAGTCTGGGGACCCCCTGGGGGCCACAGGTTGAGAGAACCACTGGTCTCGGAAACACTTTGGCTCAATGTTATTTTATGATCAAAATTAAAGGAGTGAAAATGACTCTGTGCCTGAAACAGGCTCTGTTACATCCCTGAACTTTCCACCATTGTTATCCACCAACAGTGAGCTCTTTTTTACAATTCTAGAGAGATAAGTGATCTCTCTCTCCATCCAGGGGAGTGACCTTGGAACCATATAAAACTCTGGAAACTTAGGGCCAAACGTATCCCTGGCCTTATTCCAAGTAAGTGAATGGAGATACACCCAGCGGAGAATTGGGTCCAAGAAGATGCCCACACGGGACCACACAGAAAGCTGGCCCTGCGCTGTTGGATCCCAGGCGAGAAGGGGGCGTGGGAGAGATGCTGAACCTCGGGACCTGGGATGGCTGGTCAGTGGTTACTCCTCCCCACATGACAATACGCCGCTCTCTTCCCTACCTCTGCGCGGCCGCTGCCCTCTCGGCGAACAACCCGCCCACCTAGCCCTGTTACGGGAACGGGGGGCACCGCGCATCGGTAGCGCTCGGGCTCGGTGACAGCGGCCAGGCTGCTCCTCCTTCCCCCGAGTCCCTCTCCCGGCCCAGGGCCCGGCCAGGCTGCACCCGCGTCTGTGCGGCGCCGGGGGCGGGCGGAGGGGCCGCGGGGGCGGGCGGGGGGTGGCGCCGATGTCCTGCCGGGCAGGGGGCGGCCGCCGCTACTCACCGGGAGGATTTACAGCCGCCGGCGTTGCCATCTTGTCTCGGAGGCGAATTAAGATAAATGCAAGCGGGGAGGGGGGGCGCAGATGGGGGGGGGCGATGCTCTAGGCAGCCCGGGCCGGCGGGGGAGGAGGAGGAGGAGCGAGCCCCGGGGCTGCCAACCACACAAAGGGCCGGACGCGCAGCGCCCCGGGGACGGGGCGGCTCCTTGTTGCCTTGGCGCTCCGACTCCCTGCGCAAAGCGGACCTTGCAAGATGTCTGATGCTCCCGCTTCGCTTCTGCTCATGCTCCAACGCCCCGGGCGGCCGTAGCGAGCATGTGCCGGCCGCCCCGCACATGGGCGTTGGGACGGGGAAGCCGCTGCCCTCTGCCTGGGCCCCCGAGCCTGGCTCGCTCACGGGCAGCGCGGCGCGGGGACGCCCGGCTCTACAGGTGTGGCCCAGGGGTGAAGGGACACCGCGCTGGGGCCGCTAGCCTCGGGCCCAGGCGGGACTCAGCTGGCCGGCTTGGGGCCGCTTCCCCGGGGCCCATCCCTGACAAAGCAGCAGGTTGCTGCGCAGCCTGAGTCCGGTCTTTCCTTCTCTCCCTGCTTGGATGATTTGTTCTCTCCCTGGTGCTCCCTCCCTGGAACTGAAAAGCCAGTCATGGTGCGTGTGGCTAGATCTCCGAAAACATCCGGGCAATGGGCAGCGGCAGTCAGAAGAAAAGCTAATACTGTGCAGAACCATGAGAATTCCACCATGAGTTCAACAATTTCCATTCCACCATCAACCTCAGCCTGGACCAATCCACACAAGCGGTCCATTTCCTGGACACTACTGTGCTAATAAGCGATGGTCACATAGACACCACCCTATACCGGAAACCTACTGACCGCTATTCCTACCTACATGCCTCCAGGGTTCATCCAGGACACACCACACGATCCATTGTCTACAGCCAAGCTCTAAGATACAACCGCATTTGCTCCAATCCCTCAGACAGAGACAAACACCTCCAAGAGCTCTATCAAGGATTTGTAAAACTACAATACCCACCTGCTGAAGTGAAAAAACAGATTGACAGAGCCAGAAGAGTACCCAGAAGTCACCTACTACAGGACAGGCCCAACAAAGAAATTAACAGAACACCACTGGCCATCACGTTCAGCCCCCAGCTAAAATCTCTCCAGCGCATCATCAAAGATTTACAACCTATCCTGAAAAATGATCCTTCACTCTCACAGATCTTGGGAGACAGACCAGTCCTCGCTTACAGACAGCCCCACAACCTGAAGCAAATGCTCACCAGCAACCATACACCACACAACAGAACCACTAACCCAGGAACCTATCCTTGCAACAAACCCCATTGCCAACTGTGTCCCCATATCTATTCAGGGGACACCATCATAGGGCCTAATCACATCAGCCACGCTATCTGAGGCTCGTTCACCTGCACATCTACCAATGTGATATATGCCATCATGTGCCAGCAATGCCCCTCTGCCATGTACATTGGCCAAACCGGACCGTCTCTACGCAAAAGAATAAATGGACACAAATCTGACATCAGGAATCATAACATTCAAAAACTGATAGGAGAACACTTCAACCTCTCTGGCCACTCAGTAAAAGATTTAAGGGTGGCAATTTTGCAACAGAAAAGCTTCAAAAACAGACTCCAACGAGAAACTGCTGAGCTTGAATTAATATGCAAACTAGATACTATTAACTTAGGTTTGACTAGAGACTGGGAGTGGCTGGGTCATTACACATATTGAATCTATTTCCCTATGTTAAGTATCCTCCTCACACCTTCTTGTCAACTGTCTAAATGGGCCATCTTGATTATCACTACAAAATTTTTTTTCTCCTGCTGATAATAGCTCATCTTAATTAATTAGCCTCTTACAGTTTGTATGGCAACTTCCACCTTCTCTGTACGTGTGTATATATATCTCTTCTTATGATATGTTCCATTCTATGCATCCAATGAAGTGAGCTGTAGCCCACGGAAGCTTATGCTCTAATAAATTTGTTAGTCTCTAAGGTGCCACAAGTACTCCTGTTCTTTTCATTAGAAAAGAGAATCACACAGAAAATATCATAATCTGTTACCTAACGCCATGGTACCCATCCACCCTCCTCCCCTCCCCCAGGGTTGCCAACCTTCCAGGATTGTCCTAGAGTCTCCAGGAATTAAAGATTTTTTTAAATATTATGTCATGTGATGAAACCTCCAGGAATACCTCCAGAATTGGCAACCCTACCCCCACCTTGAATACTGCGTGCAGTTCTGGTTGCCCCATCTCAAAAAAGGATGCGTTAGAATTGGAAAAGGTACATTGAAGGGCACCAAAAATGATCGGAGGTATTTTCAGCTTGGAAAAGAGACGACTAAGAGGGCATATGATAGAGGCCTATAAAATCATGAATGGTATGGAGAAACTAAATAAGAAGTGTTATTGACTCTTTCACATAACACAAGAACCAAGGGTCATCCAATGAAATTATTTGGCAGCAGGTTTAAAACAAACTAAAGGCAATACTTCTTCATATAGCTCACTTGTGGAACTCGTTGCCAGGGGATGATATGAAGGCCAAAATTATAATGGCTTTCAAAAAAGAATTAGGAAAGTTTATGGAGGATAGGTCCCTCAATGGCTATTAGCCAAGACTGTCAAGGATGCAACCCCATGCTCTGGGTGGCCTTGGCCTCTGACTTGCAGAAGCTAGGAGTGGACAACAGGGGATGGATCACTCGATGATTGCCTTTTTATTCCTTCTGAAGCACCTGGCCCTGGTCACTGTCGGAAGGGACTAGATGGACTATTGGTCTGAACCAGTATGGCTGTTCTTATGTACAGTGCCTTAGTCTTTCCTTTCTCTCCCACTGATTGCGCAGTTACTCTTCTTTGAGTTTGCAATCCACAGAGCACCTTTCAGTTTCCACCTCTCATTTATGGTCCTTTAACATATTAGAGAAGAGTCTGTATTAGCTTTGCACATTTCAAAGCAGTGATGGAGTGTAATAGTGTGATAATTCTGTACAGAGAGCTGTAGCAGTCTATCTTATTCTTGTAGATTTGGCAGTTCTAGACACGTATACAGGGGTGTTAGGAGTTGCTATAATGCAGGGGTGGGCAAACCTTTTGGCCTGAGGGCCACATCTGGGTTTGGAAATTGTATGGCGGGCCATGAATGCTCACAAAATTGGGGGTTGGGGTGTGGGCTCAGGGGTGGGGCCAGAAATGAGGAGTACAGGGTGCGGGCTCCAGGCTGAGGAAGGGTGTTGGGGTGCAGGGGGGTGAGGGCTCCAGCTGGGGTGCAGGCTCTGGGGTGGGGCTGGGGATGAGGGGTTGGGGTGCAGGAGGGTACTTTGGGCTGGGACTGAGGAGTTCAGAGGGTGGGAGGGGGATCAGGGCTGGGGCAGGGGGTTGGGGCACGGGAGGGGGTCAGAGGTGCAGGCTATGGGCAGCACTTACCTCAAGCAGCTCCCAGAAGCAGCGGCATGTCCTCCCTCCAGCTCCTACGTGGAAGCGCAGCCAGGCAGCTCTGCACACTGCCCTGTCCGAAGGCACTTAGGGCTGGGGCAGCGTGCAAAGCTCCCTGGCTGCCCCTACACGTAGGAGCCGGAGTGGGAACATGCTGCTGCTTCCGGGAGCCATGTGGAGTGGGCCAAGCCCCTGTTCCCGCTCCCTGGCTGGAGTGCCGGAGCGGGGCAAGCCCCGAACCGCGCTCCCCAGCGGGAGCTCGAGGGCCAGATTAAAACATCTGGGGGGCCGGATGCAGACCCCAGGCCATAGTTTGCCCACCCCTGCTATAATGTCTTAAGCATTTTTCAATTTGGGAGGGGGGTGTTTGCACCTGTCTCCAGGAAGCTAATGTTGCTGACCCCTGCAAGTGATAATATTAGATCTAGGAGTAAATCATAGGTTTAGAGCAACCCCATTTTTTTGTGAATTGGTTACTATTTCTCAAGGAAGTGTCCAGATTCGAGGACGAAGGGGGTTATCTTCACTGACACAATGGGGGTTGGTTTCCCCTCCCCCCCATAGGATTTAAACTTCTCAAGTGGAGAGAAGGCAGATGTAGTTTTTATTTTGAGACAGGTAAGCTCGGTCAGCACTAACACCCCCCAGACCATGGTTGACCACACCTAGTTTACCTAGAGTGCCTTGTCTCCACTATGATTTTACAACAGGATAGCTTTTGCATGTTATTAATCCTATGGTAAAAACACACTATTTTTGATAGTCAAGACATAGCCCAGGTGATTAAATAACTTTAAAAGGTTAGAATAACTTTATGTATTATTCAGTATGTTATCTGAGCCACATGATTTCCTGATTCTTGAAAGTGTGTCTTTGATACCTGTGTGGTTATAGTTCTGCTGTCTGAAATGCCATCATGTGGATTGAGAAAATGAGAGGTATGGAAGAGGGAAGTGAGGGGAGGTGTGCAGAGGAGGTGTTTGGGGCTGTGGGAAAAGAGAGCTGCTTTCTAACTTGTGCAAGAGATGCTGGCTGGCCTATGTAAAACAGAGAGAAAGATTCTCAATGGCCTGTATGAGAGTGAAAGGTAGAGATGGGGAAGGTGGTATTGTTTTGTTTTTAAATGAGGAGGAAGATTTTAATTGTCTCACTAAAATATACACTTCACAATCCTTCTGCAAAAAGAGGGTGATGGTTTTAAAAGTTGCCCTAACTGGAGGTATTACCTCATAAAGATATATCTCCACTAGCCTTTTTTACTGTGTGGGGGGGAGGGGGGGAAATCTATATTTAGTTTTAGTTTACTGTAAAGTAAAGAAGCAGGAGTTGTTTTTGGCTTCATTTCTTTAACACATATCTAAAGGTTTCTTTAACCCCAGGTTCAAGCTTTGTTTCAATAATTTACAGGATTTAATAGTGAGATATAAGATGCTTTGTTTTAAATGTTCAATACATAGTGTTTAAAAGGAGCAATGTACCTTGTAAAGAGGTACTGTAAAGGCAATAGCATTGCTTCCACGTGCTTAACTATATTATTTTTATTTTGTGGATTAAGATGGAGGAGACGGTGCCTTGAATGGAAATATATTAAATACAAAAATCTTCCTTAAAAGTAACATTAAGGATCACATTTAAACCCACAAAAGCTTTAAGAATTCAGAAGCTGAATCTGCCATTCTATAGTCTAAGCAGAACATTCACATGAATTACATACTACTCTGCCAGAACCAGTCTTACACACTACCCACATTCTCAAACATAAATAAGTGGATCCAGGAACATTAGACAGCCTTATTCTTATTTTCCTTGATCTTGTGCATTTAAACTATTATTCTGCACATTGATGTATTGCAATTTCCTTTGTTGTTTTTCAAGTTTAAAAAGGTGCCATAACTTTTATCCTTTGTAACAGAAATGTTTGACATAGGCTACAGGATAACAGAAGTTATATATATATATATAAATTGCCAAAATGTGTGTATCACACTTAATAAGCAAAATCACATTAAAATAATCGGTTCAGGGGTTCCAGCAAGATCGTAGCTTTCTGATAAGAAAGGGGCATCCTCACCTTACAGAGTACAACTCATACATGCCCTACTATCCAAAAGACATCTGTGATTTCCTCAGTAATGTTCAAATTTATAACTGTTTCTAGTATCATGGTTCATCATTCAAGAAGATTGGCATATATTATATTTGTTCCTATTGATAGTAATCAGAGTAAGAAGCTTGTATGCAGCTGAAGGGTATGAATCCTTTTCAG